GATGCAACTGAGCAAATGGATTCGTAAAAACAAACAGAAGAATAATGAGATATGAGCGATGTTTGGTTTTGATGTGGTTTCAAACTTGCGATTACCCTTTTTGAGGGCTTATTAAATTTAACTCCACACTACGGAGCCCCTTGCTTTATAACTCTCTGTTGTGTCTTATTGCTTTTAGTGGCTGCCATAGACAATTTTGAGCAATAGATGAAGCCAAATTTGTCCGTTTTTTTACATTACAAAAGTGACTAATTTATTTGCAAAGTAGGAACTGAGCGAAATTTCAATGATTTTTCTTAATTTGCTCGAAAAAAATAGGTAAATTTACTACGCATCCTTTCTTGCAACTTACGCGAGGTTAATTTATCTTCTTTATATACGGTAGTTGACCTTTCTTAAATTCCGCCATCCCCAGAACCGTTTGATTCCCTTCTTGAGAAAAGTCACTGCCTTACTATTAAACACCATAATTTGTTCGATGAACGGCCTCATTAGCACTGCGCGATATCCCTCTCATAGACTTATAAAGCAAATTAATAGAAAAAACTTCAGCAAAGTAAACGCGGGCACTTGTCTTTGTAGGAGAAATCAGAAAGATGCTTTTGCAAGCATAGTTAGTGAATGTTTTCCAAAGGCTCTTTTCGAGGACTACCTCCTATAGAGGCATTGATTCATGTTGACCCCGGAAAAAAATTCTTCAGTCATTGCAGGAAAATTTAGAGATGTTATTTGATAGGAAATGCCATCGAGTAAGTTCAAGAACCTAATTTGAGTCCGCTAAAGAGAAAAGGAGATCCTCATTCCTTCCTAATCAAACAAGTTGGTGCTAGCCTCGTCTTAAATTAACTCGTTCGCTCCATTACACAGAAGCCAATGGTAACGCTATATCTTTCAAGTGGCGCGATACCGTGTCTGATGCACCCGTGAGCAAGTCATGCCTTCTATTCTTTCATGGTCTTAGGTGCTTGGGAGACGACGTGCGCTCATGTGAAGCCCCGTACTCTGAGGGTTAAAGTAGCAAAGTAAGCATATAAATAAAATCATGCTCGATTTTCTCACGCTTGTGACTCTCTTCGTTGCAAATTTGCGAACGTCCTAGCGCAGTGATGCTGAGTTTTCCACGAGATCGACATTCATCAACATTAATTTGAATGCCCTCAAGAACAAATCGAATTTACGCGCTTTGAAGAAAATGTCAAGTATGGACGCAAGGAAGAAGTCTGAAGGCAGAAAATATTATATTATGCACAACATGAGTTGTCGAAACGTGGCGGGAGGCTCCATGGCCGTAGGGAGTAGTTGCAGCAACGGCCAGTATTTTGTAAGTAGAATTGGCCAATATTTTGATGACTCGATGCATGATAAGAATTTTGTTCATTATTTTTCAGTTTATGAGGATTGATATAGTGTATTGACTTATCAGTGAAGAGTGTTTTATTGGTTAAGCTTTATTAGTGATTGTACTAGAGTAGTTCGGCTCTGGTGCCTATTGCGAGTTAGTGTGTGTAGTGTGCCGAATGGATCGCTCGATTCTAATTATTATTCCTGCCACTTGGGTCTTTTACTATTCATTGGATGAAGGGCAGTGGTGATCCTGAGACCAAGGAACCACATGCATCGCCCGTAACGGACAACACATAACAAATAACAATAACAACATAACTACAATTGAAGAGACAACAATTACGACATGCAACGCAATGTTAACTATTCATGACGATGTATTAGATGTGAGCCTAAGTGTAAGATCCCCCAAACCCTAGATCTCTAGATGAATGAGAGGAGCTAAACATTGTAAGGAGAAGTAACTATTCACATAAGCATTGTACAACGACATGAATTGTAGTATGATATGATCAGCATTTTCTAGAGCCAAAAGAGGTGGGGTTTGCGCCGAGCTCCATGTAGCGGCTGTAGACGGATGAAACTGCTGTGGGCGTACTCTTCCACAAGATTCTAATTTGGTTTAGACTGTGAATAGCTGTTCAGCACAACGCTGCCCATATTTTATGGGAAACAGTTCTTGGTTGCCAACTGAAAGGCACGAGTTATCGTGTTTCTCGGGCACACGGCCGGCAGTGTTCAAAACAGAAGCTGGCTATGGTTGCGCGAATACATAGCCCAGCTAGTGTCAGAAGCACTGCTCGGCTGGTATGACCAACTGCGCAACCTGCACAACGAACAACATAGTGATTATCTGTATTTAGATACATTGATAGTCAGTAGCATAGCAGATAAGAAAATGTAGCAGTTATTCTGCTTAATAGCTGTTATATATAACCTAATGTTTTCAACTGAACTTGTATTCAATAAGTTATTCATAAAGTGCGTGTGGCGCAGTAGTTACATGCTCTGCAGCACAAACGGTCGATCAACCGATTGTCGATGTACTAATCCCATGCTCAAAGCTCACCATGCCTTTATCCCTCATGTCGGTAAAAACGGTACCACAGTTTTCTGGAAGGAATAGCAGCATTAGTCTGGTACATCGGAAGGCCACTGCGAGCCTTTACAAAGGTCAGATGTGCATCTTAATCTTTTGAAAGAAGTTAATTATTGATGCCAATGCATGACGCATACCTTGGGATTAACCAACGTCGAGAGCTCTTTTTCATTTAAAATTAATCGGCTTCAAATTGTAAATGAAAAATCAGACTCAGTCATATGAAAGCTTTCCAAAATGCACAGGGCAGTGTTCGCACTAAGAAGCATATAACATTGGAGGCATAGGCATCGGTTTTTGTCATAAAAAATGCGTGTAGAAAGATAAATTTGCTCGAAAGTTGCGCTGTTCTTTCTGCCCATCCTAGCACTCTGGCTATGTTTCTTCGAAGAGATTGTAATTATTGTATTTCTGTGCATGCGCCGTGTCCGAGTAGTTGTGACAATTGTCGCGGCGAGCATGGGACACAACTCACTCCTCCCATCACTCTCCTACAGTTAACAACGAGCCTCATGGAATTCCACATCAGGCTATCCTCGAGATTACGAGAAGATCTACTTAACCATTACTCCACGACTTCAAGAAGAACAAAAAAAAACGATTGAAAGCTAGAAGCACTGAAATTCACACCGCAAATAAACATTGAGAAGACGGATGATAAAGTAAAGTAAAAAGTGCTTCTCTAACTCCGACAGTTAAAGAATTCCCAGGTAATTTTATCTGATTGCTTCTCCTCTACTGTGAACTTCAGTACATTGGACAGTATCGATGATAAGTACCAGTCCCGATTACCTCTTATTGTTCGAGGATGAAATCATTACATTTGTGAGGTTGGGCTCTTGATTTCCAAATAATCAATCACTTTTGTTCTATAGTTTCAGCTTCTATCATTGTTATAAAGACGTAAAAAAGAGCTGCTTAGAATTTGAAATCTATTGTGACCAATTTCAAACTATGCTGACTCAATCATCATTCATTTGCATAAGTTCATTCAATTCAATATCAACTTGCTACGATCTTATTGAGCGTCAAAAAAAATTTGGCGATCCTCTGGAAAATCAACTTTCTTCTTGGAATAAGTTAGCTGTCAAATAGTAATAACGTAGCTACAGTGTAAAAACTATTACTTATCATGGTAATCATTTCTAACCAATTGGGAAAACAGCGTTATCATCGGTACGAGGTTATGCTTGCGTGCTAAGGTAATCAATCAATCCGTCTTGAGTTTTGTGCACTACCGTCACCTCCACTTGTTATGTGTTGCTTGGTGTTAAACATGATCCTTTTTGCCATTCTACGAATACCGGTAATAATAGTAAATGCTTGCTCAAATAGATGATTGGATGGCCGGCACCGAAATATAGTACGATTATTGTTACTCCATTTGCTTCACTGTCTTCCATTCGTCTCATCAACTCTGTTTGGGTGCAAAGACTAAGTGGCGGCTTGAAGATTCTTCAAAATGGGATACTTTTTTATTTCCTATTGCCAATCCTTTCTATGCCAGAGATCGTCACGGATGTTACTCTTTAAGGGATATCTTCCCAGCAAATCGCGAGGGCATGTAGCGCGTTCTCAGGTGGTGGATAAGAGGATTAAACGCAAACTAAAAGCAGTTAAAGGCCTTTCAGTACATTTTTTGGTACTTATTATCCGTCTTTACAGTGTTTTTTAAAACTATGCGGATTCCACTACTTCTAGCACTCTTCAGCGTCTTTCATCTTCTTCTTGGACGTCGTAGAATACTGGTTGAGAGCGTCTCCTTCTAATGGTTATGGAATTCCATAGAGCGTTCGTTGTTGAGTTTGTTGGACTGCTGGAGAGTGCTGAGGCATAAAATTCGGCCCCACACGCGCCGCTACGAGCATCGCAACCTTTCGGTCACTGCACCTCCCGTTAGTACATTGCAGCAACAAAAATAAGAGTTTGTTCAACTCGAATTGCTTTTTTCGCTCGGCCACTGCCTCTGAAAAAACACTGAATCAGTGCTTAGTAGCTATCTGATAGTACAAATGTTGTTGACATTCGGACTGCGTTTAGTTTTGGAAAGGTTTTCATAGAGCGCGTAAGAGCGAAAAGAAGACTACGCTCCTTAGTTCTATATACATATATGAATCTTGTATGAAAAGAAAATTTTGGTAGAGAGAGAGGAGGAAGAAGGGTACATCGAAATCATAGAGTGGCGCTCATAGTGTCAGTCTATCGCTCATAGCTTACAACAATTTCTCCATTCAATAAATCTTATGTTTTACTGTTTTTTGCAGTGTTATGATGCTTCAAATATACCTAAGAGAAGCTGCAAGTTCGACTTGCGGTCATCACAACATCAGGTAATACCACTGTCCGATTTGCGGTGATTTGTTTTTACTCGGCGTCTGTTCCTTTATAGAAGATTGTTCAGCCTCAAGGCATCGACGGAACCGAGGGGGGGGGGGGTACTACGGATGAGTCTCATTAGGACAAATTAGGCGCCTATATAGCACTAGAACTATTGGCTCAAAACATGTCATATGCTCACCAGATTATATTTGAGAGAACTGAGTTGTAGGCAAAAAATCGACTTCAGACGGGAGTTGAACCCGCGTTTCACACATAACGGGGACGCATGCTACCACTACACCCCCAAGCCCACCGTTTACGCTCCACTCATTGTACAAGATCTCTCTATCATAGTTACTAGCCACCACCCTTAACAGGTATGATATAATAACAGTCATTGTACCTATATAGACCCAAAAATTCTTAAAGGAGTGAAACGCGCGTCCAAGTATGATTCAGGACTTCCGCAAAATTGTAGAATAGTCTTTGTTCTATTTCCTATGAGTATAGGTTTTCATTTTTATTTGATTTTGCAAAGCAAACCGGCGATGTAATAGGAATGGCAAGTTTATCACTTTGAGCGTCAAATTCATTTTGCTCTTCGTGTTATAACGCAGTAGAGATGTACTTAACAATCATACTTGGTACCAAAATCATCATTTCACGGACTATCGAATGATTACTAATAGTTCAATGAGAAGCAAAAAAAAAAACAAACCTATCCAAAATCGCCACGCTTAATGATAAACTGAGGTTCTTGTAGGGATCAGCGCCAAACCTATTTATGCTCATTCATTCGCTTGGTTCCTTCTGATTAAGAAGGGAAAAATGGAAAATCGTCTGATTCGCTAGAGAAGAAATTTTCATAAAAAGTTTCAGCTATCTTTCCAAAGCTAAGACTTGTAGCTACAGCACCCCGTCGCCAGTTTTCCAAATCACCCTTTTATATCGTTGTAACATTCAAAATAAAATTATGTTATATAAAGCCACATGTTTTTCTCTCTTATCTCGCTTATACTTCGCTGGACAAAACTCCTTTCTCACAGCACTAATACTCAAACTACAGCACAAGCTTCAAAGAACTTGAGAATGTGTTCTGCTCTCTAAAATGCTTTTTAATTTTTTGACCTCCTCTGGTCTCAGATGTGCTTAAACCTCGCCGGACAGAGCTCTTTCTTAGCTATCAGTAATCATCTGACAGTGTAATGTTTTCTGATTATAACGCTGCGCTTGATACACTAATTTTTTGTTCGCACAGCAGACAGAATGATGAGAGTCGACATAATGAATCTTGCTTGAGTCTTTCAAAGTCGATGACACGAGGCTGTTATTAATTATTTCAACGATTGATTAAGCCACTGACCTAACAAACCTTGAAAAAGCCTAAAACTCTCTCAAAACATATCAAAATTGTCAAAAACGAGATGGTAAGCATAATCGATTAGAAGACAATATCTATATCTTCAATTAATGGCTGTAATTTACCAACTGTAAGGACTCAGACAAAATTTTATTGTGCCAAGTCTTATCAGTCTGTTTCTCCCTTCCCTATTGTATAGGGCTAACACCTGGTTGGACGTATGGCTCTGACGAGACGAGCGAGATCGGCGAAACGTACGTAGATCGTTGACAAGCAGATATCGAAAAGGCTTAGAAGTCTTCCAGAATATGTCAGAGCTCGAAAGAGGGGTTCAAAAGCAGTCGGTCACAAGACATTTATTTAAGTGTGTTCTCCATGTCGTTTATTCTCTCGATATCATGTTTCTCTTCAAAATGGATTTTTTTATCTGCGTGTCATGTGGGTTTGGATTATGCCAAAAAACAGTGATAACATCCACTACTATTCGATCCCGTCAACTCTGAAGTGTGGACTTTTCCTTGTCGTCTAAGCTCTCTTACCAGCGCCATATGATGACATTCCTTAAGTCAAGAATTGAATTCAACGATTTTTAGTGGTTATTTATACTGTCCTATCCACGCAGCGTTCAATGTTTTGTGATGATCAAGACACGAGGTTAGCAAGATTCATTTGATACAATAAAAACTAAAGGATAAAGCTCCCAGCGTTGATCAATGCATGAGGGATGCACCATGCATTCATGTTCAATATTGGTTCGTTTAAGGTGATTGAATGCATATCTGGCCTTTGCATTGGCTCGCAGTTACCTACCGCTGCATCGAATCAGGGCTGCTTATGCTCTCAGCCAAGTCTGGTACGGATTTATGAACTCCAGATGGACGGACGGCTTAGTGGGCCATAAGCACAAGTCGAACGATCGCCCTTGTATGCAACGCAGACACCTCTATTCATTGCGCCACATGCTCTTCTATCCAGTAAAATAAAACCTAACAATCCAACGGTTTTTCTTTCTTCAGAGCTTGCAAGAAGTCATACTGACATCCTATCTTCTCAGTTAAACAACTTACATAACCATAAGAGAAGAAGACTTGATACACTGATTTCCGTTCGCATAGTAAAACAGCTGAGAGCGTGGTACCGCAGTTCCTCTTAAAATCAATCATCTGAAGGTCTCAAGGGCCTCTTCGCTCAGACACTTGAGAGATTTTAAGGAAAAATTTTCTTGGCCAACATTCTGCGGCATCCTTGAAATGATACGAAATCTCAATACAAGCTGAAACAATCCGTGGAAAATTCGAAGGCTTCTGTGGACGATGCTGAATGCGAGGAAACGAAACGAATGAAAGTGCTGAGATTCGCAGGGTAAATTGTGATAATGGGTTGTAAATACAAATGACAACTTTAGAGAATGTGCGCTCTTTCCTACAAAATTTCTCTAGGTCCATAAAAAACGTTTCGACTTCGTTGCGAAGTAATTTGATGAGAGCTTACTACGATGTAACACTAATTTACTACGGGGCTCTTTGTTCGGAAAGTGACACCTCTACTAATGGAAGCAGAGTTTCCAAGTACATTCCCTTGAGAGCAGCAAAAAAGTTAACAGCACATGAGCAGCGCAAAAATCTTCATAAGAATAGAAGGAAGCGAGATAATAACGGCGTGGTCAATGATGAGCGATCATATGAATTGTGTAAATTGATTTCAATGAGCAACCGCTGCGAAAAAACGAGGCATAGCCCACAGTGGCTTTCAAATACAAATAGTCGATGTCAACAGTATTTAATTAATATTATTTTCGCAAGAAAACAGTAAACCTTTTCGGAATCATGATTTTCTTCCTAATTTACAATGCCCACGTCATTAGAATGCCTTCCACGGCGTCTGATTTAGTCATAGCGGGCAAGCAAACAGGCTTTCCAAAGTTAAAGATAGTATAGATCTGATTGAGTGACGTGCAAAATTTTCTACTTTAGACTGAAGCTGAACCCACATTTCACCCGTGCCGGGACGTGTGCTGTCATCATACTATCATGGCCCACCGTTTTGCTGCCACTCTTCTTTTGCATACCACTTAACGCCCCTGAGTGTCTAGTTATAGCATCATGCCGCGATCCAAAAGGCAGTAAAATAAAGAATTTATAACTTCGCTTTCGACTGACCTCACTCAAAAACAATAGCAATCTGAGAATCTGATAACATTTTCTTGAGCCTTTCATGAAGGCTAATGTGGCACTTATACAGTGCTAGACAGGTGTTTCGACATTACAGACTCATCGGTAGCACGGTGTCTTTTGATTCAGCCAATTGCTTGAAAACGTATATACCTCTACCTATAAAGGAATTGACGCGAACTATTGAAGTTGCCGCCTGTCGAGTGGTCAGTTCACCTGACATTGCAGTAAGCAGCAGTTGAGCGCTTATGATTGGTAGAATAAATCAAACCCTTACTTTCGGTTGTCTGCATAGACGCCGCTCAAAGCAATAACAATCTGATAATGTGACAATTTTTTTGAGCCTTTCATAAGGTCTGGTATGGCATTTATACTAGACTTACTGCGCTAGCACCTGTCTAAGTGCAATATCAGACGGCATAAAAGGCTCAAAAAAAGTTATCAGAAGGAGAAGTTGTTCAGATAATAAATGTTCAGCATCTGCCGGCTCAATATGGATTTAATGCCGATATGTGCATCCGGATCGAACCCATCAAAGGTTGCTTGCTGACAGCTACAATAGTTTGTGTAAAAGATTCTTAGCGAAGCAATGACCCCGCTGACGTGATGTTAGCACGCGCCTCCGGTGTGGTGGAGCGCAGGTTCAATTTCCGGCTGGAGTCGAATGTGTTGCGTACCTCACATCTCAGGTATTGCTCGTACCTTAGTGATAATGTCGTGAAAATTTCACAGTTTTTATTAACATAGGTGTCTCAATGATCGGACAGATTTAATGCATGCCATTTCCACTCTATAGACGGAATTTGTTTGCAACGACGGATGCAACAATGAGGTAGAATTTTTTTTGTTCGTCTAACGAAAACTGTTTGCTCAGATCAACATTCAGGAGCACTGAATCCTGATTAGTTCGACGAGCCTCGAAAGCTACAAAGAGAATAAATACTGTGCTACTGCTGTTGTTCAAATCGTGCTCTTGCGCGATGATTTTTACACTCGCCTTTATCTCCTTCGCTATTGTACTCGCTCAACCACAAAACTGTAGCGTAACGACTACTCGTAAGTAATTCATTTTCTTATGAAAATGTGCCCACATTCTAATAGAAATTTTCCAGAAGACGTTAAGTAGACTACGGGATTGTAATTAACGCCTTTAAGAGAGCTTTGAAGGTATAAAAAGCCCGTTCATAGCTTGCCACCTTGTCAACTGTCATCTATCCCTTGGTACAAGTCTTAGTCTAACAAACTCATTACTGTCGCTTCAATCAAAGGAAAAACGAAAAGAGCCAAATCTGCTTTTTATCACGACTTAATCTTTTGAAGGCTTCGTTCTAGAGAGTGCCTAGTCCTGGGATATTTTCTCATGCATGCAATTCAAAAATTTTCAGCAAGTGTGAACTGTCTTTGCCCATTCGGTTTCGTGCTGATTCCATCAGGATGCTGTCCATTCACATCAGTTATTACCGGTAAATTTGTATTACTGCTATTAAAACACTATCAGAAGCACATGTTCTTCATTGAATAGAAAATCATGTCGTTAAGTGATTGTGTCGATAATATCAGATACTTTGTGTTTTTGAAAATCCTGCACACAGTTGTATTTGAATGAGTTGATTGGTGATCGTCGAACGTCCTCAGCCTCACCAGCTGATCGCCGTCTGTCGCAGAATGTCAAGTTTGTGTTGACTCTTGTAAATTTTTTACTGTGCTCTCGTTAGAGGTTTAGGTGATATAAGAGAACTCAATGAGCGATAACAGTGGACCACCAAATATTCGCCGTAA